TTAAACAAAATGCGGAATTTCGCCGGAAAAACCAACGTATCTTCGTTGACTACCTGTCGAGATACAATGGGCCAGATAAATGGTGGACGGTCAGTTAAAGGTCGGTCTACGCTCGGATTAAGCAGGGTTAAAATCAGCAATTCTTTTAGAATGTTTTTATGAAACAATCAATACAAGAAAAGGATAAAAAGAAAGTTCTTTTTAAAACTTCTAAGAAAAAATTGTCATAACAACAATTTTAAAGTTTGTAGGTACTTTGAAATTTTGTATTTAAGGCAGCATGCAAATATTTTCCTTCATTTCTATCTTTGAATTCTACCCGACCAAGTATAACCAAAGAAAGGCGAGATCAAAATGGCTAGAAGGAGTTTAGAGCACAATATCGAAGCAATTTTAATATTCGCTCGTGCTGACAGAAATCTACATGAAACAGGGCGACAATTTAAGGAACGATTTCCTGAACATCCAATTAGTCGAAAATATTTAAGAGAGCTTGTGAATAAGTTTTTGGAAACTGGAAGCGTCGAAGACCGCAAAAGAACTGGTCGTCAGATATTAACAGAAGTATTTAATGTGCCCATGATGTCGTCTGCTGCTATCGCATCAACGTGTGATGTGTTAAATATTTCCGCGTCGTTGTTGGAAGACGTGGAAATACTTAAAGAAGAATAAATATCATCCATTTTAAATAAAAATGCTTCATGAATTAACAGAAGATGACCCTGATATAGAAGAACAGAATTTTGTGAGCTAATGACAAATATGGTTGAACGAAATCGATTATACTTGAAACATATTTGTTTCAGTGATGAATGTACTTTCTTTTTGGGTGGAAAATTGCATCGGCGTGATGTTAATCCACATGAATATCGTGACGTTATCACTCAATTTCATTAGAAAGTAAATGTTTTTTTTTCAAGACTTTTGCAAATTGTACAACAGAATTCTGACGATTTTGAAATGGAACTAGTGTTTCATCAAGACGGAGCACCTCCACATTATGCGCCAATGGTACGAAATTATCTTGATAAAAATTTTAATGGACAACAAGATCACCAGATCTGACACCTTTAGATTTCTTTTTATGGGGTTATTTAAAATCCAAGGTATATGAAATTCCGTTGGGTAGTATTGAGGATTTAAAACAAAAAATTATTGACGTCTGCCAAAATATTGATCACATGTTAAGCCGTGTGAGAGAGGAAACACTACAAAGATGGTACCACTGCCTAGAAGTTCAAGGTAATCATATCGAACAATTTACTTAATATTTGATTCTTAATAAATAAAAAATTCTTTTATTATTCAATAACAACACTAAGCAAATTTTTCAACCGTTACCTATACTAGCAAAATCTTTAATAAGAAAATTTCATTTCTTATATTGACTTTTTTTCTTTATAAATATTTTTTGATAAAATATGATTAATTCATAAATTTAATATACTTCCAAACAACTTTTATTTCATTTCTAAAAAAAATAAGTAATTGAACTTGCAATTTTAAATCCGTCTTAGCTCGAGCGTATACCGACCGTCCACCATTTACCTGGCCGATTGCATTTCGACAGGTAGTCGACGAAGATACGTTGGTTTTTCCGGCAAAATTCCGCATTTTGTTTAATTTTTATGCGAAAAACTAATAAACCGATATTTGATTGTGAGGTACCGTTGGATTCGTATTGTTTTCATCTTTCGGAAGATACCATAATATACTGGGTGTTCCATTTAAAAAAACAAAGTTGATCTATTTTCCGGAAAAACTAAAAGTGATGGCAAAATTTTCCATAAGAAAATATTTGTGCTGATAAAATATAGAAACTGACGTTTTTTTGTTCATAGTGATATCTCAATTTGTTCGGAAGTTAAACAGGGGGGGGGGTTACTTTACGCTAGCACTGTATAAAAGTCATTATAGTCGTAACAAAACCAAGGAAAAAAGACCAAGGACAGTAGAATCTAACAGAACTGCTACATCCATTGTACTTTGTATTTTTGTAGTCCACTACGGGTTGGTTGCCCGCACTCTACGTCACACGATTTTCCACGCCTGGTAACTGTCTGTGTTTTTAGAAGTTATATGATAGACTATTATAATAAAATAAATATGATTGATGAAATAATATGATTATGTCTAGGATATAACCTTTAAAAATACACAGCAAACGCATAGACCATAACAACAGCTGGGCGTGGAAAATGGTGTGACGTAGTTTGCGGGCAGGTTGTCATAACAATGGATGTAGCAGTCCTGTTAGATTCTACTGTCCTTGCCAAAAGACAGTATCTTGGAAGCGAACATAGCATAGACAAAATGTACAATCTTTACAAAATCTAATGTGCGGAAGAAGGTGTTCAAAAAAGTGGGATAGTCAAATAATGGCTATATCGTCGTATTTTCAAAACAGAGTTTATGTGATATGTGCGATAGTCTGAATATGACGTTACAAGAAAGGGGAGGAACGAGCAGTCGTTCAGAAGAAAATTGATTGTCATTTAAACGATGCTGATGTACGATACAATAGCAAGAAAAATGACAAAGTAAATCTTTCAGAAGAAACTAGAATAGTCATGCTAGATTTGCAAAAGTGCTTGTTTCTTTTGAAAAGCTTTTATTTCTTAAAACTCTGGACCTTAAACCTCACCATATATGATGCTACAGAGAAAAAACCCTACTGCATGGTGTGGGATGAATCCATTGCTGTTAAAGCCGGCAATGAATGAAATATCATCAGCCTTACTCAAATGGGCTAAAAAGTTTTGAAAAACTCTAGTACAGAGACATTAATAATCTGTCCATGCCAAAACAGAAATGTTACAATGGCAGTAAATTATTCCCTTCTTTTGAATCTTCGCCCCTCCTTAAAAACAGTTATTCATAAATTTCTGCTCAAAGGTTATACCCACATGGAAGCAGACTATGTCCACGGTCTTATTGAGCGAACCATAAAGAAAGAACCTACATTGAGTACCGTTACGCCATGGGATTGGCAGCAGTTAATTAGGTCGGTAGAAGCTATAGTTTGGAACATGGAATTGAATGACTTTAAAAACTTTAATGTTTTGTATTCATCTTCAAACACAAAATATTCTCATTTCAATTGCGGTATGGTTAGAAACACATCGTGGCAGCCCAGGTGTGCTTTATTGCAAAACAGAATTTACCGATAAAGAACTGAAAAGTGTAAATTTGTGTAGAAATTGTAGACAAAGTGTAGCATCAATTCCACATGAGTTGCCTGTTATTTGCAAAACCCCCAAAGGTATAACCGCAAAGAAGCATCAACATCTTTTGAAGTTGTGTGAGTGGATACCGTCTCAATTTCATTGCTTTTATAGAGACATGACAATAGACAAGAAGGAAGAAGAAAGCCTTGATTCAGAATAAATTTCTCTAATCAGTCTTTCTTGATTGTAACCTATTTCTGGTTGATTTGGAGTTACAATTTGTGTTTTATGTTCCTTACATGATTTTTTGTTTAGTGGTAAAGAATCGTAAGTGCTTTAATTTTGGTCAGGTACAGTGGATTGTTGACATGTGTATAATAAAATAGTTCAATTAGTTACTTAATTAAATGTTCAAGAAACCAAATGAGTAATTTTATTTTATTTCTACTAAAAACATTCCTCTATCTATATTATAAAACTTTAAACCTTGTTTTCTAAAAACCTACAATAATGGAGATACAATCCTTTACCTCTAAAGTACAGATATATAGGGGAGTCTAAACAGCATCTTCACAAGCGCAAAAGTCAACATAGAAACGAATTATCAACTCTCCCACTGTTTTTTCAACAATGGTAAGTCTTTGAATTTATATATTGTGATTCTAAGTGTAGAATATATAAATAAAATTTTTTTCTAAATGTTTTGTCGTAAAAAAAATTGTAAAAAAAAAATTAAAATTGTAATTGTTCTTTTAGATTTATATTAAAATCCTGATGATAGGCTTGTAATAGCCCGAAACGTCGTTTAAACATGTTTGAGTAAACATAATTAATCCATGAGGAGTGTGTTATTTCCCTGCGAAATTATCCTTATAAGAGAATTAAATGTCCTATAGGATAGAATAGCACTTTTTTGTTCATATACAAAAAAAAAATTAATAATTAATTAATTCTTTTTTAATAGGTAAATGGGTTTTCATCCATATTGGTATATTATATGTGTTTTTTAAAAAATAAACAATGTTTATACTCCAATATATTATTTAAATTTATTAACTCTACCGGTTTCGGCCTAGATCATTATATGTTCCACTTGACACATCTGCCACATCCACATTCTCATTTTCTAAGTTTAGTCCATTAATGATATATCAAAATTTGAATATAATTGAATGTAAATTTGAATGTGTTTCCGAACCTCAACCTTATACAACGAGACTCCTGATGATGGTCTAGGCCGAAACCGGTAGAGTTAATAAATTTAAATAATATATTGGAGTATAAACATTGTTTATTTTTTAAAAAACACATAATTCCTTTTTGTTACGTGGGATTAAGTGAAAAAAAAATGGGAAAAATGTCAAAAAATTTGATTTTATTGAGTTGTTTTAGGCTATGGAAAAATAACGGAAAGTCCGATTTATGCCATCAATACCTCAAAATGTTCGTCCGGATCTCTACTTTCATGTCCATATAGCTACAGAAGCACACTATGCAAAATAAAAAATATACTTAACATGAACTGTTACTGTTTTATAATTTACGATTTTCCACATTTTTTGGGATATCTCGAAAGCTGGACTAGATGGAGAAAAACTAATCAGCACAACATTCTACATTATAAAAACATATCGCGTAAAAACATATAGTCTTCGAGGAAAAAAATTGATTAAAATTTATAATCTAGTATTATTATTTGTACCATAAATATTAAATTCAAAATAGTTTTTGAAAAGGAATTAATTTTGTATTAATTAGTTTAATTTTAATAATTAATAAAAGCGTCTCGAATTTTAAACCATAACCTCTAAAAAATACTAAAAAATTACTTACTTTAAACATAATATGTAGGCACATCCACATAACTCCTAAGACTGTTACGAATAAATCATAACGATTTCTTCTCGATTGGAGATAACCCCTCGGGGTGAAAGCAATATTTTTCATTACAACTTCAATTACAAAGACAAGGGTACAAAAAATTCCCACCGTAGCTAAGATTTCTGTGTGTGATTCAGCTTTATTCCACTAAAAAATTAATTATTATTAAATTTAGTTGTCTCCCCGTTGACTTGCATAACTTCGTAGGGTTATTCCTTGCAATAAAATTAGCAAAACACTTTCGGTCAACATAGGTGTAATTCTCAACCGTTTTTGACATATGGGATAACTTAAATTACTGTCTTACTTCTACAATAATTAGCAGAAAATGTTAAGTTTTAATCATTTTAATGACCAAACAATGCCGCAAACAAACTAAAGCATGGGGATCATTAATCGATGAAAGCTGCTCAAAATGGCGACCCTGAACTGTTATACACAACTCTGCTCTTCGACTCAGTTCTCGTATGCAGTTGATATTTTCCATGTTTTCATGAACTTCCTGAAATGCTCGATGGATTCTACCTACCAGTTCTTCTTTGGTCGGCTTCCCATGTCCATAAACGATGATTTTAACATTGCCTTGCAAAAAGTCGAGAAGGGCAGGTCCGGGGAACGCGGGAGCCATCCGACAGCTTCATTCCGCCCTATCCAGCGGTTTGGAAACGCAGTGTTTCAAATATTCACTCCTTCCATAGTGTGCCGGACACACATCATGGACAAACCACATCCTATTACGCACGTTCAAGGAGATATCTTCAAGAAGTATGGGAAGCTCTTCTTCTAGGAATCTCTTGTAGATTTAACTGGTCAAAGTTCCATCAAACATTTTCGGTCCCAGGACAACATTTTCGATGATCCTCCCCACACAATCTATGGAATCTATGTACTTTCTGACAAAGTATGGGGATTTTCTTCGCTCCAGACGTGCTCGTTATGTGAGTTGTTAATCCCATCACGAGTGAAGGTAGACTCATCCGCGAACAAAGCAATTAGGAGGAGATTCTGGTCCTCTGAGCATCCATGAGCAAAATTCTTCTCGTTTCGCATAGTCTACTGATAAGCCCGTTTTTACGCAAAGAATTTTTCTCTCCCATGGTGGCAACCATTCTTCTGTTCTTCCATGAAGAACAGCTTCAGTGTGGTTTCTTCCCGCAGGCTCTCGTTCATTGGTATAATTCAAGAATCATCATGTCGCTTAAAAATCGACAATTTTTTTTAATCGACGGGAAATCACTCAAGTAAGCCATTACAAATAAAAAAAAGTGTGGAAAAGTGTAAAACATATCGAAAAATTACTTTAAAGTTTTGACGGGACGTCACTTTTTGTGACGTTATCGACCGTAGTGACCATATATTATCGCAGCACATTTGGTTAAAACGCATTTCGGGTGACAACGGTTGTTTCTTAGGTTTTTGACGCACACCGACTCAAATGTCGTTGTTTACCAACGATAAACTAAAGATAGCCTAAAATCTATACCTGATGCCCTACCCCCTCTTTAACTTATTGGTTCCTGAATGCTAGATACTGTTGGCAAAAGACTAATTATTGCTATCAGAAGATTAAATACTGCTAGTAAAAGACTAAAAACTGCTTGGAAAGAGGAAATACTATTTCAAAAAGTTACCTACTGCTTCTAAAATGCTAGATACTGCAGAAAAAGGCCATAACTTACTTGGAAAAGACTAGATACTGTTTCCAATATAAAACCTATTGCTTCCAGAACGCTAAACAATGCTGTTAAAAGGAATGAAATCTTACGTAGATATCAAAAATGAAATTCCACAATGATGTATATTTATTCAGAAGTTATGTCTTTAAGATTCATGTTCAACAGAGTTCTCAAATATCCCCTCGATCTTACAGAGTTTAAACATGAAATCCAGACGATTGTAGGGGTGGGCCTCAATAAGGGTTTTTCTATTGCAGAAATGCAGAACATTTTTTACCGTATACATCAAACTAACATTAATAATCTCATATACCCTAAATATTCTAAACAACCTTTTTATATTTCTTTACCTTATCAGACCCATTTACAGGAGACTCTCTCTGCAAAATTAAAAGATCTAAACATTACTCCAGTATTCACTGCTGGACAAAAACTTGGACAGATCCTAACTAACAACAGACATAAATTTTCAGAAATTCAAAAAAGCGATATTTATAAATTAAATTGCGGTGATTGTGACGGTTTTTATATAAGCCAAACCGGACGTGACTTAGAAACCAGGTACAGAGAACATTTTTCTAAATCTTCATCAGCCTTTAAAAAACATTTAACAGATAATAACCATACATAAAACATATCCAACATTAAATTACTTAAACAACTCAAAAAACCCAAAAAAATGGATCTTTACGGAGAATATTACATCAATTTCTATAATAAAAAAAACCCTCATCTAATTCTTAATGAAATTACAGAATTTTACAATAACAGATTATTTCTGAAAATTTAAACTTTCAAATTTTGCCGCGTCTGCCGATTCGTTACATTAGCCACTTCATCCATCTTTGTTAAACCAACTTCACACCGGTCTTACAAACATGACCGATTAGGTGCGCACTTAACTTTAGGTAACAATTTGGGTGATTTTACTGTATTTTACTCGATTAATCTCATTTTAATTTTTTAGATTCTTTTTGTTAAAAAGCTGTATATTTGCTACATCGCCTCATTCTTTTACGCCTTCAGCTTTTTGCAATTTAACACGTCGTCAACCTGTTCTTGTTGACTGAGACGATGAAGTAAAATCTACGGTTTAAACCGCTCGAGGTTATCACTTTTTGTTATTTCTTCGTATTTTCAATCTTTTTCCACATGATGCATATTTTTAACAACCCTTTGATCATTTCACGTTGATTGACAGTAAGAGAAAATAATCCTTAATTTGTAACACCTGCTAACTTTAATTTACATCTTATAGTTGTACCTGAACACGCTCTAATAAAGTGAAACAATTGTAGAACATAACTTATTCTAAATATACATCATTGTGGAATTTCACTTTTGATATCTACTTAAGATTTCATTCCTTATAATCATCACACAATGAACTTGGAGTATCACATCGCTAAACTGCTGTTAAAGGTTTTGACCTACTTGGACAGGCGGAATACTGCTTCCAAGACCACTTGTTGCTTTCAAAGACTTTCATAATTGTTTGGAAAAGAGATATGCTTTCCAAAAAGCTACCTACCGCTTCCAGAATGTTAGATACTGCTGGAAAAGACTAATAGCTGCTTGGAGAAGACTAGATAGTGCTAACAAACAACTATAAACTGATTGTAAAGACGAGATACTGCTTCCATAAGACTACTTACTGCTTTCAGAGCGCTATATATTAATAGAAACGATTTCAACCTGCTTGGAGAAGACTAAATACTGCTGGGAGAAACTATTATCTGCTTGGAAAGACAAGATACGGTTTTCAAAAGACTATTAACTACTTTCAGAATGCTAAAAGTTGTTGGAAAGACTACTAATTGCTAGGAGAAAGGTAGATATTGTTGGCAAAGACTATTTAATGCTTTCAGAAGACAATATACTGCTGTCAAAACACTACTAAGTGCTTGGAGATTACAATACTGCTAGCTGAAGACTATTTACTGAAACTATTCTTCTGTTGAGTGATATCTTTCTGTGTCCCTTCCATTACAGATTTAAAAATTGTTGCAACAACACTCGATTCTTTATCACCCAGATGCGAGATATCTTTTAGACGAGGGTAGGGCCAGTGCGAATTTCTCAAATATCGGGTTGGGCATGGAGCCGTGCGTCTTCAGACAGAGATTACATTAAACCCGATACTTTCTAGTTCTAGGTCTACTGTTAGTTCTACTTGAGTTCTACTTGACTAGCCGTCTTGAGAGACGTGCGGTTAAACCCGAATGTTTCTAGATCTAGGTCCAGTATTAGTTCTAGTTTTAAATGTTGTTTAGCGTTAGATTGCGGTATATTTTTATTGAAAGAAAAGTAGAACTAACGCTAGACCTAGAACCAGAAACATTCGGGTTTAGCCGTGCGTCTCTTAACACGGCTAAACCTGAATGTTTCTAGTTCTAAGTCTAATGTTAGTTCTAGTGACAGTGGTAGGTAGCGCTACTTAGCATAAGATATCACTATGTTGCATACTTTGCATACTTTTATTGCACTAAACTAGAACTAACACAAGACCTAGAACTGCGTTTTCAGACGTACGGCTAAACCTGATACTTTCTAGTTCTAGGTCTAGCGTTAGTTCTAGTTTTACACTAGCACAATCACTAGAACTATCACGAGACCTAGAGCTAGAACCATGCGGGTTAAGCCGTCTTGAGAGACTTGCGACTAAATCCGAATATTTCCAGTGTTCCGTCTAGTGTTAGTTCTAGTATTAACACAGAGTCTATTGACACACGTCTATCTAACAAAACATGACATGACATCAAAACTTAAATGTGATTTTTCGGTATGTTCTAGACTTTTCCGCACTTTCTTTTTATTTTAACGTGTTTTTTGCGTCATTTCACATTGATTAAAAAAAATCGTCGATTTTTAAGCCACATCTGCGTACTCTCTTGCAGCTTCTGAAGCGTTTTCTCTACTATAGTCATACTAAAATCATGTCGACGTACTCCTTATTCAAGAAACTGCTTCATTGACAACCAATGTTGTTAAATACCCGGGTATTTATTTTCAAGGGTAAATTTCCTGGATATACAGGGTGTATCTGAATGACGTGCCCAAACTTCAGGGGGTGATTCCTTAGGCAATTTTAAGGGTACTTTTTCATATAAACTATCAGCGATTTCGACTCCCCTACGAAGCTACGCCCCTTCAAAAATGGCGAAAAATTTTGGTTTATTTTATTTTTCCCGAAAACCATTTATACCAAGAAAATGAAATTTGGGAAATATGTTTAGCTTATAATAGGGCATGTTTCGAGCCTATTTGTACTTTCAATCTTCCCTTCTAAGTTACTAAACATAACCACCCCCGTTCAATTTTTGTCTAGATCTTTTTTATGACGATGATATTGGAAATTGGAAATATTGGAAATATTTTTGACGTTTAAATGTCAGTGGCTTTCTTACTATTATTATTGTTTTATTTAAAATTTTGAAACGTCGAGTGAACGAGCGTAAATGTGGTAGAACTTTATTCATAAATTAATTTGAAAAACAATAATAATAGTAAGAAAACCACTGACATTTAAACGTCAAAAATATTTCTGACAAAGATTGCAAAGCCTACTAAGATTTTTTCTTTAAAAATTCATTCCAACTTTTGATCGACAACCCCGTTGTTGAACGGGCAGTGTTTACTTTATTATTTTTTTTCTCAAAAATTAGTCGTGGAACAATACTG